GGTGCAGGTCTACACTTTTGTTTCTGGTGTCCTTTGACAGCTCTTTGGTCTTGGCCATAGTGGAGTTTGGAGTGTGACTGTTTGAGGTTGTGGACAGGTGTCTTTTATACTGATAACAAGTTCAAACAGGTGCCATTAATACAGGTAACGAGTGGAGGACAGAGGAGCCTCTTAAAGAAGAAGTTACAGGTCTGTGAGAGCCAGAAATCTTGCTTGTTTGTAGGTGACCAAATACTTATTTTCCACCATAATTTGCAAATAAATTCATTAAAAATCCTACAATGTGATTTTCTGGATTTCTTTTCCTCAATTTGTCTGTCATAGTTGACGTGTACCTATGATGAAAATTACAGGCCTCTCTCATCTTTTTAAGTGGGAGAACATGCACAATTGGTGGCTGACTAAATGCTTTTTTTCCCCCACTGTATGAACAATAATTTCCTTCAAACTACCTCTTCTTTGTTTCGTGATTTAAGTGCCTGACTATGGGTGCTTTAAAACTTAAGTTTGGCTTGAAAACCACACCTAAACCACATAGCTCACCTACCCATTCATCCAAAACCACACCTAAACAACACACTGTAGCTCACCTACCCATTCATCCAACCAACCAACCAGAAATACAAAGGCAGCAACAGAGCAACTCAACTTTCACTGCATCTCTTCTAGGTAGCAATATACTGTACTTTACTGTGATTTCTAGTTTCCAATGGGTTCTGATGAGACAGGACATCTAAGTGAGGCTGGCACCAATGATTAGGCCCAGAAAACTTCAAGATGTGCTTTGTCTATTGTCAGAAAAAGCAGGTTTAAAAGCAGGACCACGTGCTGATTCTGATGATGCCTATCAGAAACAGCCAGACAGCCATCACAGAGACCAGGGCTGTGTTCAAACACTGATAATGTCAGCTTTAATAATAAACCAGGAGGACTTTTGAAGGTCTGAGAATGAACATAATCACAACTGATCAAATGTTCTATGTACTAATGGCTTATTTCCACTAGAAAAGTTTCCAGGCAAGCCCAGGCATCAACCACATTGGCATGCCTATAAGTTCAATAAATGTGTAGAATTCACACCTAGGACCCATCACTTATAAAGTACACAGAAAGGGTGCTCAGCTCATAAAGTGAAAAATCCAACAAACCCACTGCCCCCAGTCCACTGAAATATCCACACACACACATTTTGTAAATAACTCTTTAAATGGTTTTGAAGGTAGGTGTCAAAGGGCTTTGTTCCTGTGATCAAACTAAAGCTAACCCGAGGAGCTGGAGTCAATATGGCCCGGGATAAGAGCTAAGCTGACAGCCAGCCAGTCACCTCTGGCCCAGAGGCCTCTGCTAGTTAATAGAAAACAACTGATGAATTCAGGGTGACGGCAGAACTCAGTAATCTATGCCCAGGAGTCACACTTACAATTCACAGTGTGTTATTAGATCTATATACACAAAGGATAGATAGGCCTTTCTCACTTTTATGCATCCTACTGACCTCAGATTCTCACAGCCATTCCCATTCTGATCTCAGAAATGACTAGCATTATCAACTGATGTGGTTATGTGATTGGATTCACTGTAAACATTGGATTGACCACTTAATAATGTAATGCTGTCAAAGATAAACTCATTCTGCTGTTGCTGGTTCTAAAAAAACATACGCCTATTTTGTGAAATCTGGTGATCATCCCATGAACAAAAATTGATTTAACAATATACTGGTAGATCTCTTGCAGAAAGTGTAATACCGTTTCTTTCTCTTGATGCATTTCTTCCTTGTACCTACTAACTTTATAACTCCACTTGCCACTGGCCATTTTAGGGAACTAGATGCGAAGCAATTAAAGGAAGTTGTTCAACCTCAATACCATTTTCTCAACAATAAACCAAAAACCCTTTATCTATACAATAAAGCAGCAAACAAAAAGTACACACTAGTCACAGCTGGTTAGTTGTGTCTCACCTCATCTAAAGCACATCTATGCAACCCCCATAACCAACTCAGGAGTGTAGTCAGGATATCCACCTTACATTCATCATAAATTCTACCCCTTAACCTTTTCTTATTATCCCTGTCAGCTGACTTGACAGTGCTGTTTGATTTGTTTCCCAGATAGGAGGCTATAAGGATGCAGTTCAGTGCCCATATTCACGGTCTCAGAGTAGGAGTGCTGATATAGAATAATTTTTGCCTTATAGATCATAATGAAAAAGGGGGGGACCTGATCCTAGATCAGCACTCCTAGGCCTAGGTCTGCTCTGCAGTTCCTTAAAGTGTCAGAGGCTTTGACCGTGTGTATCAGCTGAAACGAATGGTGTCCTTTATGGGTTTTTAATCACGGCATGTGAAGCAGCACTGTAACCATACTGATGCTCCTATAGCAGATGATGGAAGGAAGGTTATTCTAGTCTAGCTGGAGGTCACACACGTCATGGGAAGCACAGTTCACTCACTCACAGAATGCCATCTTTTTCATTAGAAGACTTTCAGAGTTCTGATGACAGCTCTTTATTTAGATCACTCCTATTATGTCTGAGATGGGTTGAAGTCTGGAAACAGCAGATAGTGAAGCCCCAGAGTTTTAGATTTCAACAATGGTTTAAAAAAAAAGATAGTGATAAAGGCATTACATTACCAACATTACATTACCGATATTACATTACCGACTCAATAGTCCATTGCTCACTGACCAGCCTCTCACTAATAAAACAAGTTCAGTTAATGTAGTAAAAAAAGTTAAATCAGATGGCTTCACTGTGATATGTAATTGTGTACGAATAAAAGTGTTTAACAGTGCTGTGTTTACTAACCATAAAACAATAAATAGTATATAAGTACAGCTAACTGAGGTTATCCAACTTTGCTTTTAGTGACAGGACAATAAAGAAAAATTCAAATGTTTTCCCACCACAGACTGTTAACATCTGGCCCTTTATCATAATGTAACATAGAACTAGGCTTGCAAAATCCCGGTAACTTTCCCCAAATTCCCAGAAATCCAGGTTGGCAGATTCACAGGAACAGGGCATAAGCAGGAAATCCAGAATCTTCCAACCAGGATTTCTGAAAAACCTGGGAGTTTTGCAACCCTACATGGAACCCTTTATCGTGTGTACAAAGTGGAGTAATGCGTTATAATACTGTATGTACTCTCACACCCAGAATGCTTTTGGGGCTCATCTTTTTATAATGTTGGGTATAATTTTATGGCTTGAAAGACGATTGCAGGAGAACGATTTTGTACTGTAAGTAATACAGAGATTGTAGGTTAGAAGGACTGTCGTCGTGTTTCTTGTGCTTAGTCAATTGTGTCACATAAAAAGGTGGTGTTTTATTCACATAAACACTGCTAATCCTCAAATGTACTTGACAACAGGGAAGTGTTTCGGTTTGCAGATCAACATTCAACACATTTCTATATAAAAATGGCGTTGTACAAGGAAAATGAATCTTGTAAATACAGTACAATTTCAATTGCAGACCATGAGGCCAATCTGATGCTGTATGAGCTATACACTTACTTTGCAATGGCAGAGCACTGTTGTTTCCTTCCTTTCAACGTTATAACACTCTTTCTTTATAGAGGAAAGGCTGGAAGAGATTACATATTTTTGTATGGAGGTCAAATCCGCAGATATGAGCGCAGACAACTTTTTACATAAGGAAGCCAACCGCGGACTTACTTTATCAATAGTCCACTATCTTTGCTTGTCATTCAGACTACTGTTACATTGCCTGCGTCACAAATGGCACCCTATTTCCTATGTAGTGCTCTACTTTCGACCAGATCCTTCTGTGTTTGCAGATCTATGTGTTCTGGGCTCTGGTCAAAAGTAATGCACTCTCTAGGGAATAGGGTGACATTTGAGACACACCTATTGTTAGTTTATTCTGATCGTACTGAGAACATTGCTCTGCCTGCATTTCTCTTACTCTCTCAGTGTCATAGATTCCTGGTCCTTGCAGCAAGATCTACAGTCAGGAAACATGTTTTGTACTGCCTAGGTAAGATGGATCCCAGGTTGAGTGTGTGACTACTAAATAATAAATATAGGTGAAAACTGCAAGTCTGTATGTATATTGACACGATCACAATGTTGCCTTGATGTTGCAATACAGTTACATGACCGCAAACCAAATCTGTGTATCAAAAGTGGAAAAAGGCTAACTCAATAAAACAGCTTGTGAAATTGTTGAAACATAATGTGTATTTTTACATACGGCATATGACATGTACACACTTTGAAACCCATTTGGTAGAAGAATATGAAGCCTATGTTTACCAGTATATCCAACTAATTTATATGCTAATTTAAACTGGGTCGTTCGAGCCCTGAATGCTGATTGGCTGAAAGCTGTGGTATATCAGACCGTATACCACGGGTGTGACAAAACCCGTTGTGCCTAAGAACAGTCCTTAGCCATGGTATATTGGCCATATACCACACCCTCTCAAGCCTTATTGATTAAACATATAACTCCACATTGTACATTTACTAAACAATGAATACAAACAATGAGTAGGCTACATAAGGTGAAGGTGCCCCATAGCGCAGTGGTGGATCTCAACATCTGAAGTCATCCCAGAATAACGCCTATGTCCATATTCATCCCTGACCTTTGGACCATGCCCATTTATCACATCATAATAAACAATGGTGTTATTTTCCATGGGCCAGAGGTACAGTGGTGAAGCCTATAAAGCTAACTTCTGGTTTCAGAGGTAACACATTACAGACATCGCTACATTTAACAACTTTGCAGATATGAAACAAATAGTATGCATCCTGTCGGCAATTTATGACAAAGCGGCACTTTGGTGAACATAAATGGGTTGTATGTTTGTATGAATGAATGAATGACATTTTATTTTCATGTCAAATCGCCAGTTGGCAACCCATCCCTTATGGGATTAATTGACACAAACAAACATTACAATAATTCACTGTGATAATTATTCTTCTTTGTATTTAATAATGCTCTGGGGTTTAGGCTAGGTTTACTTGGTGTTGATCTCTTGGGTGTTGCGTTTCCTGTGTGCTTGGTTCTGATTGTTGCGTACCACCTGGCTGATGCAGTAGTCGCTCTCCTGGCCCACCTCCGTCAGGCGGATATCACACTCCACCATGCTGCTGTTGTGAGACATGCCCTCCTCCAACACTTTACCTCCATCCTGAATGAACACAGACAACACAAACAAAACAAAAGCACATGCCAGTTGGTTAATACACCACAGACATCATATGATGCCAAACGCATCATCATCACCAGTTTTTGCTCTGCACTGAAAGTTCGCTATCTTGAAAAGCTGACATGGACACTCTTTTAGGCTTGTTTTAACAGTGGACAAAACACTAAAATATAGTTTTTAAATGGACTATCCCTTTAAGTCAGATTTTCACTTTGTCTCCCACTGACATCAGTGCATGATAAAGTGGGAGTTAGGATTCGCCCCTATGTCTCACACTGCCTGACATCACACCGTAATCTCGCTCTGGAGAAATTTGGAACAGCTGGGGTCAAGGCTACATAGTATGTAATAGGACAGGAAGGACGATTTCAGTCCTTGAAACCACTGGCTGAATTTACTGTGGGCTACAATAGGCTACTGTGTCATACAAGGTCTCTCCAATGGCCTATTGTACTGTCAACAGTGTTTTACTGTCATGTCTGAGACAAGCGTTTTTCTATTTCAACGTACACTATACCAAGGTCAGACAAGACATGCACGTGACAGTTTTGCTATGTGGGTGATTTTTTACCCTGTGCACTCCAGTTCCACTTCCTGGGGAAAAACTGACATCTGAAAGGGGAAGCTGCACGAGAGGGAGGGAAAAATACATCCCAAAACAACTCCTACTTAGCTTTCCATTATTGTGTATTTCTGACATGCACATTAATAATTTAAGATGCAAACAGCTTGAATTGTAGAGCTAACATTTGCCTGTTTACTTTCCCATTGGAACCAAGTCTGTATAAAACACCCTCTCTTTGTTTAATGTTTGATCAGTTATTTGTAGTTGTTGAACTACAGTTCCACCTGAAAGGTGTTTGCAGCAGATGTAACATGGATGCTTCGTTATGCCGACCACATTACTACTTGACTTACTGTCCAATTAGTGAAATGTGTTAAATGTTGAATCGGTAATGTGTTTCACTGAATCTAAAATTGAATGATCTAAAATAAAACAATGCCAATGTTTTAAACAGTACAGTACTATGTAATACAGCAGACAGATCATATGATGTAGTTTGTGTCTGAGGTAAGCGCCAGCACTCACTATCCCCAGTCTGTTACAGGACAGGTTGATGCTCCTCAGCGTATTATTCTGGACCAGGACTTGAGACAGGACCGTGGCGGTGGGCTCTGTCATTTCGTTGCCTCCCAGGTGCAGCCATTCCAGGGTGCGGTTCTTCAGCAGGGCCTGGGCAATGGCCTGGCCCCCCTCGTCCCCCAGCCGGTTCAGACGAAGGTTGAGGGACAGCAGGCTGGAGTTCTTGGCAAGGGCGTAGGCTATTGCCTGGGCCCCAGGCCCCCGAATGTTGTTGTCGTAGACAGTGAGGCTCTCCAGCTTGCTCCTGGTTAGTTTAATTTAATTTAATTTGCACAAAATGAATATACAATAATGACAGGAGAAAACTTGAAAAAAGGGAAGGATGAAATAGTATGAATAAATTAATCCAAATAAAGTTTTTAATGAAAATATGTAAATCATTATTTGAATATGTTGGTAACCCGTTGTATAAAAGTTATAATGTCCTCGAAGCCGGTGTTTGGAGGATGTATTGGCACTGTTTGCCGGACCTCGACTTCGTCTTGGGCCTAACAACACCCGTGCCAATATATCCTCCAAACACCGGGTTCTCGGGCATTGTCACTTAAAGGGAACACGTGCATGTGAGGTAGGCAACCCAACAAAATCTCACCTGTTGAGCAGCTTGCCGATGGCCCGGGCACCCCGGTCCCCGATGAGGTTGTGGGAGAGGTTGAGCTCCCTGAGGGATGGGTGGTCCAGGAGGTTGTTCACAAGCTGACGACACTTCTCGTCATCCACTTTGCTTTGGTGGATCCTCAGCACCTGCAACAATAGCAGAGATTTTAAGTATGGGTTTAAAATCTCAAAAATAGGGAGACTTGGCGGGTAGATTTATGTGGCAAAAATGTATAGCTTTAGTTTAACCTGCCTACGTGTTAAAAAAAAAATATAAAACAGCAAGCTGGAATCAAATGCCATTCTTTCCACTGATACAACAAAATGTGATGTTGTGGTATTATATTATGCCATGAAGCAATGAATCCCTGTGCTGTAGCATAATAACAGTTGTGTCATACAAGGACGTGTGTTTAGGGTTTCAGCCTCAGGCATTGTTGTATTGGCACTGTTTGCTTCAGATGAAGGTGGTCAGATGAAGCAGAAGGTGATCAGATGAAGCAGATGCTAAGCTACAGTACTGTTTTGCTAGCACAGACTGAAATATGTTCCGGGATTCTTCCAATGGCATTGAGGAGTACACCACATCAGTCACTGGCTTCATCAATAAGTGCATCGATGATGTCGTCCCCACAGTGACTGTACGTACATACCCCAACCAGAAGCCATGGATTACAGGTAACATCCGCACTGAGCTAAAGGGTAGAGCTGCCGCTTTCAAGGTGCGGGACTCTAACCCGGAAGCGTATAAGAAATCCCGCTATGCCCTCCGACGAACCATCAAACAGGCAAAGCGTCAATACAGGACTAAGATCGAATCGTACTACACCGGCTCTTACGCTCATCTGATGTGGCAGGGATTGAAAACTATTACAGACTCCAAAGGGAAGCACAGCCGCGAGCTGCCCAGTGACACGAGCCTTCCAGACGAGCTAAATTACTTCTATGCTCGCTTCGAGGCAAGTAACACTGAAACATGCATGAGAGCATCAGCTGTTCCGAACGACTGTGTGATCATGCTCTCTGTAGCCGATGTGAGTAAGACCTTTAAACAGTTCAACATTCACAAGGCCGCAGGGCCAGACGGATTACATGTACTCTGAGCATGCGCTGATCAACTGGCAAGTGTCTTAACTGACATTTTCAACCTCTCCCTGTCTGAGTCTGTAATACCAGCATGTTTCAAGCAGACCACCATAGTCCCTGTGCCCAAGAACACTAAGGTAACATGCCTAAATGACTACCAACCTGTAGCACTCACGTCTGTAGCCATGAAGTGCTTTGAAAGGCTGGTCATGGCTAACATCAACACCATTATCCCAGAAACCCTAGACCCACTCCAATTTGCACTCCAAATTGCACTCCTGTTACGAGAATTTCTATCTCTAATTCAACTTAAGCTTGAATCATTACCAGAGGTTGTAAGGCTCTGGTTTTAATCATCAATGATTCAAGGTCCACAACCCACAAGGATTATCTTTATTCATGGAGAGCTCTGCTGCCCAAAACACATACCGTTTTATACTCCTTCCACACAAAGGCACCCTGCTCCGCCCACCTCTAGGAGGCCCCCTGTAACCCATTTTCTCAGTCCCCTTCACCCTGGAATGTTTAGTCCCGCCCCCCTCTGTTAGTAGGTTGACAATACATTATCATTCTAACACAGTTCACACATTTATACTGTATTTGGGGTGAAATCCTTTAGTCATTATTCTTAAAATACAAATTAATCTAACAACTCCACACTGCCGTTTCACACCCGGACAAAAGGAACACCTATGTGAGAATGCTATTAATTGACTACTGCTCAGCGTTCAACACCATAGTGCCCTCAAAGCTCATCACTAAGCTAAGGACCCTGGGACTAAACACCTCCCTCTTCAACTGGATCCTGGACTTCCTGACGGGCCGCCCCAAGGTGGTAAGGGTAGGTAACAACACATCTGGGGCTGGCACTCACTACATATTCGTCGCCAAACCCACTGGCTCCAGGTCATCTATAAATCACTGCTAGGCAAATCCCTGTCTTATCTTAGCTCACTGGTCACCATAGCAACACCCACCCCTAGTCTGCGCTCCAGCAGGTATATCTCACTGGTCATCCCCAAAGCCAACACCTCCTTTGGCCGCCATTCCTTCCAGTTCTCTGCTGCCAATGACTAGAACGAACTCCAACAATCTCTGAAGCTGGAGACTCTTATCTCCCTCACTAACTTTAAGCGTCAGTTGTCAGAGCAGCTTACCAATCACTGCACCTGTACACAGCCATTCTGAAATTAGCCCACCAAACTACCTCATCCCCATATTGTTATTTATTTTGCTAATTTGCACCCCAGTATCTCTATTTGCACATCATCTTTTGCCCATCTATCCTTCCAGTGTTAATACGAAATTGTAACTATTTTGCACTATGGCCTATTTATTGCCTTACCTCCATAACTTACTACATTCGCACACACTGTATATATATTTTCTGTTGTATTATTGACTTTATGTTTTGTTTACCCCATATGTAACTCTGTGTTGTTGTTTTTATCGCACTGCTTTGCTTTATCTTGGCCAGGTCGCAGTTGTAAATGAGAACTTGTTCTCAACTGGCTTACCTGGTTAAATAAAGGTGAAATAAATAAAATAAAAATAACAAATCTGCCACGCTGATCCTCAACACGGGGGCCCCTCAGGGGTGCGTGCTTAGTCCCCTCCTATACTCCCTGTTCACATGACTCCATGGCTAGGCACGACTCCAGCACCATCATTAAGTTTGCCAACGACACAACAGTGGTAGGCCTGATCACCGACAACGACGAGACAGCCTATAGGGAGGAGGTCAGAGACCTGGCCGTGTGGTGCCAGGACAACAACCTCTCCCTCAACGTGATCAAGACAAAGGAGATGATTGAGGACTACAGGAAAAAGAAGAGGACCGAGCACACCTCCATTCTCATTGACAGGGCTGTAGTGGAGCAGGTTGAGAGCTTCAAGTTCGTTGGTATCCACATCACCAACAAACTAACATGGTCCAAGCACACCAAGACAGTCGTGAAGAGGGCACGACAAAACCTATTCCCCCTGAAAAGATCTGGAGTGGGTCCTCAGATCCTCAAAAGGTTCTACAACTGCACCATCGAGAGCATCCTGACTGGTTGCATCACTGCCTAGTATGGCAACTGCTCGGCCTCCGACCGCAAGGCACTACAGAGGGTAGTGCGTACAGCCCAGTACATCACTGGGGCCAAGCTTCCTGCCATCCAGGACCTCTATACCAGGCGGTGTCAGAGGAAGGCCCTAAAAATTGTCAAAGACTCCAGCCACCCCAGTCATAGACTGTTCTCTCTGCTACCGCACGGCAAGCGGTACCGGAGCGCCAAGTCTAGGTCCAAAAGGCTTCTTAACAGCTTCTACCCCCAAGCCATAAGACTCCTGAACATCTAATCAAATGGCTACCCAGACTATTTGCATTGTCCCCCCCCACCCACCCCCTCTTTCCATGGGGCGGCGCACAATTGGCCCAGCGTCGTCCAGGGTAGGGGAGGGAATGGCCGGCAGGGATGTAGCTCAGTTGGTAGAGCATGGCGTTTGCAACGCCAGGGTTGTGGGTTCGATTCCCACGGGGGGCCAGTATGAAAAAAATTATAATTATGTAAGTCGCTCTGGATAAGAGTGTCTGCTAAATGACTAAAAATGAAAAAATATATATACAGTGGGGAGAACAAGTATTTGATACACTGCCGATTTTGCAGGTTTTCCTACTTACAAAGCATGTAGAGGTCTGTAATTTTTATCATAGGTACACGGAATCTAAAACAAAAATCCAGAAAATCACATTGTATGATTTTTAAGTAATTCATTTGCATTTTATTGCATGACATAAGTATTTCATACATCAGAAAAGCAGAACTTAATATTTGGTACAGAAACCTTTGTTTGCAATTACAGAGATCATACGTTTCCTGTAGGTCTTGACCAGGTTTGCACACACTGCAGCAGGGATTTTGGCCCACTCCTCCATACAGACCTTCTCCAGATCCTTCAGGTTTCGGGGCTGTCGCTGGGCAATATGGACTTTCAGCTCCCTCCAAAGATTTTCTATTGGGTTCAGGTCTGGAGACTGGCTAGGCCACTCCAGGAACTTGAGATGCTTCTTACGGAGCCACGCCTTAGTTGCCCTGGCTGTGTGTTTCGGGTCGTTGTCATGCTGGAAGACCCAGCCACGACCCATCTTCAATGCTCTTACTGAGGGAAGGAGGTTGTTGGCCAAGATCTCGCGATACCTGGCCCCATCCATCCTCCCCTCAATACGGTGCAGTCGTCCTGTCCCCTTTGCAGAAAAGCATCCCCAAAGAATGATGTTTCCACCTCCATGCTTCACGGTTGGGATGGTGTTCTTGGGGTTGTACTCATCCTTCTTCTTCCTCCAAACACGGCGAGTGGAGTTTAGACCAAAAAGCTCTATTTTTGTCTCATCAGACCACATGACCTTCTCCCATTCCTCCTCTGGATCATCCAGATGGTCATTGGCAAACTTCAGACGGGCCTGGACATGCGCTGGCTTGAGCAGGGGGACCTTGCGTGCGCTGCAGGATTATAATCCATGACGGCGTAGTGTGTTACTAATGGTTTTCTTTGAGACTGTGGTCCCAGCTCTCTTCAGGTCATTGACCAGGTCCTGCCGTGTAGTTCTGGGCTGATCCCTCACCTTTCTCATGATCATTGATGCCCCACGAGGTGAGATGTTGCATGGAGCCCCAGACCGAGGGTGATTGACCGTCATCTTGAACTTCTTCCATTTTCTAATAATTGCGCCAACAGTTGTTGCCTTTTCACCAAGCTGCTTGCATATTGTCCTGTAGCCCATCCCAGCCTTGTGAAGGTTTACAATTTTATCCCTGATGTCCTTACACAGCTCTCTGGTCTTGGCCATTGTGGAGAGGTTGGAGTCTGTTTGATTGAGTGTGTGCACAGGTGTCTTTTATACAGGTAACGAGTTCAAACAGGTGCAGTTAATACAGGTAATGAGTGGAGAACAGGAGGGCTTCTTAAAGAAAAACGAACAGGTCTGTGAGAGCTGGAATTCTTACTGGTTGGTAGGTGATCAAATACTTATGTCATGCAATAAAATGCAAATTAATTACTTAAAAATCATACAATGTGATTTTCTGGATTTTTGTTTTAGATTCCGTCTCTCACAGTTGAAGTGTACCTATGATAAAAATTACAGACCTCTACATGCTTTGTAAGTAGGAAAACCTGCAAAATCGGCAGTGTATCAAATACTTGTTCTCCCCACTGTATATATCCTCGCTATTGTTATTTTTACTGCTGCTCTTTAATTATTTGTTACTGTTATTTCGTATTATTTTATATTGTATTTTTGTGTGATTTTTTGGGGTATTCTTTCTTAAAACTGCATTGTTGGTTAAGTGCTTGTAAGTAAGCATTTCACTGTATTGGGCGCGTGACAAATCAAATTTGATTTGATTTGTACTTCCTCTGATGTAAGTAGAGCATTATAATAGGTCTGTGATACTGCAGTTTGTTTCACCTCACTTGAAACATAATCTTTGTTACTGATGCTCACTGAGGAAGTGCTTGGCACAGAGCAGAACAGAAATGCTCCAGACAACCTGACTCCATCCTGTATAGGAAAGCAGAGCGACAAAGCCAAAGGGCACCATGCCAGTGAACACTGAGAGGGAGTCGATCGATACTCACCCTCAAGGTCTTACAGGACTTCAAGGCCTTGGCCAGCGACTCGCAGTCGCGGAAGGTGAACTCAAAGAGGTTCCACTCAAAGTTCATGCCGCATCCCTTGACCCGGTAGACCACGTGCAGCTCCTCCAGGTGGCTCAGCTTGTCCAGCAGAATGCCAAAGTCAAAGTGGTCTATGGATGGCCCGTCCATGCCCATGTCGCTGGCCGAGTCCGAGTTGTCGTCGTCCTCAGACTTCTGGGGCTCCTTGATTGGCGGCAGCAGCTGCGAGATGTCCAGCCTCTTGACGTAGTTCCGGGACAGAGGCACCATGTCCAGCACTGTCTTGGGGTCGGTGGCATCAGGGATGAAGAGCTCGATGATGTTCTCCAGGTGCCTCTCAAAGAACATGCGCTTCCAGCTGTGGCCGTATGAGGAGACGTCACACAGGCCCCAGCGCTGTTTGCAGCAGCGCTTCCAGTAGCCTTCGTCGTTGATCAGGTTGGCGGTCACCTGCAGGGGCAGGGACGGAGACAGCCTCTCCAGGACATAGTCTTTGTGGCTGGGGAGAAGTTCTTCGAGGATGGGCTTCTCTGTGAGCAAGGTATAGAGGTTGAATTATGTGATCAAATAAACAACTGACTTGATTAATTGACTGAATAAATAATGTAGAATATATAGAATAAAACATACCCTCAAAGTTTATCACTATGTGTTGCAGGCAGAGGCTGGATAAAAGGGGCACTATAGTGAGGGACCACTCTGGATCTTCTGCAATGATCCTGCGCATCTTCCTGGGGTCTGCAGCCATGTTGAGTTTTGCTACTGGGGGATACATGCCAACCCCAGGAGACTTGGACATTGTTGCAGTCATACTTGAATTTTTGGGGAATTACCTGTTCAATATGAGAAACACTTTTTACTGAGTTTAACCTGAGACAATTCTCAAAATGCAATGTTAGAGTTTGCAAATAAACCATTGTCAAATATAGTATTACTGCCACATTATTTGAAATATATGACATACACATTTGAGCAGGGATTCTGTAACTTGTTAAGCCCATCTATGTAGCTACTTTGAACTAATGCTGGCATTATTAGTCCTTCCAAACATGAGAGCTAACGTTAGCCTAAGTTAGTAACTTATCAGCCTATTAGCTAACTTTAGCAAGCTAAGTTACTTGACATAGCAGGATAGCTAACTTTAGCTAACCACTGCAATGCATAGCTACCTAAATGCTGCAAATTCTCGATTTATCTGATAACGAGTGCACATGTTAGTTAGCTAGCTAGCTTACCTTGTTTTGCCTTGGTCGACCGACGTTGCCGTGGTTACAAACAAGCACATTTGCTCGTGGGAGAAACGCCTCCGGTGTGAAGTGGTTTCCACTAGATTCCACAGCCACAAAGTCAGAATTGGCTATATCATAGAAATTAATGAAAAAACATTTATGGTTAGGGTTAGGCATAAGCTTAGCAGTGTCGTTAAGGTTAGGGTTAAGGTTAGGGTTGGGTTTAAAATCTAATTTTAATAAGATAAATTGTAGAAATAGGCAGAGTTTAGCCATAATTATGACTTTGTGGCTGTGGAAGTTGCAACAGGACAGTCAAGCAGACAATCTGGACATTTGGTTGCAATATGCATGATACATCCATATACTGAGTGCATGAATGTTTCACTATTATTTTATTATTTCCAGGACCAGAATAATGCATAATTGTTTTACCTAAACATAAAGTCAAACAAGTCACAATTCTTAGGGGTGATCAATATTTATGCAGTAGCCTACAGCAGATGTGCAGAATTCCAGAATGTTCCCTCTGTCCAGGCTATTCCCTGCCTCCTGTCTCTCTGGTCCCCCAGGAGTCTGCTTCAGTTTTGATGACAGCAGCCAAAAAGAGTGTGTGTACTGCTTCCATGTGCATAATTTATATTTGCATAAAACATTTTAAATCAGCGGTAGTACTGGCTAGTTAGCAGTGGTAGAAAAACCAGTACAAAATGTTGAAACCATGTTACCCTATAACCCCAACCCAGTAAATAGATACAATAATTATAATTTATTTTATTGACCTGTCTGTTTTTGAAATCAACAATGAGTGGGTGGCATGATTCACCATTCTTGTACATATAATGCATTCACAAAAAGTGTACAATCCCAATCTCAGCAGTTAGGCTAAATGTAATTCAAAAGAAAAACACATTAGTTTTGCTTAGATGGCTGTGGACAACAGTAATTGCCAGTGTTTCCCTTGCCGCAACGGGTTATAGGAGCTGGAGGTCAGTTGATTTCCCGTGGAAGTGAATGACAGAGCTATGTGGGGTGCTGTCAACCGCGACCACGTGGTGTCCATGGGACCTGCTAAAAGAAGAGAAAACCGCAACTTCAATATCTTACTCTCAGGGGTAGTAACACCAAAGCAACACAATACCAGTGAGCAGGAACAACGTCTCAATTAAATTCATGGTATAAAGCTGACATCCAGCGTGCCTTTGTCTGAGACTGTAATGACATGCCTGATGATAAACTGTGGACAAAACGTAATGTATTGATAGAAAGTGAACACAGAGCTAGCTGCCTCTGGCACATATTGTGGTACCTGGTCGTTGACCTTGTTATCCGGCTTGGAGATCTTGGTGACTTTGATCATAGAAAGGACCTGGGCCTGCCTCGGTATAAAGGGGTACCTCAGGCCGTCGGACTTCAGACACTTAGTGTGTATGCGGTCACACCATAAGAACAGCAGTGGACGCCATCCAGACAGCACGCGCTCTACGAAACAGAGATATACAAGTTCATGTTTTGCGTTACACATTTTAAGTAGAAATATAGAAATATAGATTAACTTTAACTTTACTGTCTAGTTACTATTGTAAGTAGAATGTAACAAGCATTAATTACACAGTAGCCTAACAACAAAACTGTGAAATAACAACAAACATTTTTACAATATATATTTAACCCGTTAGCCAAGATATAAAGTTACAGTAGACCAGTGGTCTCAAATTACCGGCCTGCGGGCCCAGATTCACACAACACTTCTTAAGCATAAACCATGTAATGACCTTGGTTATATCTAAGATATAAAATACTTTTATCCGTAGGTTATTTTCAATGTGTTACCACCTTTAATAACATAAATGCCAAGTAACAAACGACATGTGACTGAATGCTAAGTAGCCATGTTCTCCCCCCCAAAAAATGGCAGTTAAGAAGAAATGTCTTCTTAAGAAGGTTTTGTGAATCTGGGCCCTATTGGCCAAATGCTGCCCTCTGGACTTTGGTGACGAAGATCAAATGTGGTCCCCGGGCAAAATTAGTTTGAGACCCCTGAACTGCATTTACATTTACATTTTAGACCATGAAGCCAACATACAAGTAGAAAGACACTATTCACAGGGGAAAATGGACTGCAGCTCCACCCGCCCTCGGGTTGACGGCAGCAGGGCAGATATTTGAGCCATCACAGTGCACCACAGAGCAGCATTGCTCTGGGACGATATCAGACTTGAGTGGTTGAGAGACAGGAGAGCATGGTTCCTCTGCAGCCACCTTCTTCAGCATGGGCACGCTGTTCCATGGTTGGTCATCTTTCGTACACATCTGGTCCGTGGTGTTGCAGCTGAATCCGGACGGGCAACAGTGGGTCAGAGCAACACATGTCAGAGCAACACACTGCCTAGGAAAACAAACATAATGAAAATAAAAGTTATGTGGTCTGTGAATACCTTGTAATTCATATGTAATGAATCTGTAATACCTCTCAGTGAGCTCTGATGAGGGTCTTGGTTTTGACCGAAAAGTTGGTTTTACCATTGAAGAATTACATTTACACTAGTGGTGTCAAATTTGTTTCGTACTCACACAGGGAACTGGACAGCAGGAGTATCCTCCATTGGTCATACAGCAGGTTGACTGACAAGAGCAGACTTTTCCATCGGCAGGCTGTGTAGCAAGAGGCAGACCCTGCCACCACTAACACCAATGCAGCAATGTTCCACATCTAAGGACAGAGAATAAACAAGTGTTATAGAAGCATTGTTTTATTTGCCAAGATTGAAATTAATGATATTGTGACACGCTAAATTATTTCAAATTGCAGTTTCACTTACCTTACCTCTTGTAAGGTAAGTGTATGAAACAACGTAAAGGGCGACTCCTCAAACAACGCAATTAAACAACGTAAAGGGCGACTCCTCAAACAACGCAATTAAACAATGTAAAGGGCGACTCCTCAAACAACATAATTAAACAATGTAAAGGGCGACTCCTCAAACAACGTAATTAAACAAAGTAAAGGGCGACTCCTCAAACAACATAATTAAACAACGTAAAGGGCGACTCCTCAAACAACATAATTAAACAATGTAAAGGGCGACTCCTCAAACAACATAATTAAACAATGTAAAGGGCGCCTCCTCAAACAACATAATTAAACAATGTAAAGGGCGCCTCCTCAAACAACATAATTAAACAACGTAAAGGCCCCTCCTCAAACAACATAATTAAACAACGTAAAGGGCGACTCCTCAAACAAGGTAATTAAACAAGGTAAAGGGCGACTCCTCAAACAAAACACACCTTTTTATGCTGCACAGTAGATTTAATCTACCCACTTTTAATAAGGACCTAACTGACCTAACCTGACGTCAATGATACTGACCTCAATTAGGGCTCATTTCTTTATCCAGTGTGTTTTGTTAAGTTCAAAATAATACAATATAAAAATTGCTGACACCATTCAAACCAATGAGGGTTCGGAACATTAAAGCCAATTATCTCAGAATTATATTTTTGCAGATAGAACCTTATAGTCCCAAGCTCTCAAAATGGGTTATTGATGAATACCCAAATGTTAAATTATGCAACAAGGATATTCCATAGCACTAGTAACAAGACAATTTCAGCCAGTAGAACTGATTCTCATCATCAGCGAAAAAACATTTTCCTGATTTATGTTCAGCTGAAGCTTGGCTGGCAGCTCAAAGACATCCCTGCAGGGAACCTGCAGAGTGATGTCACGCCACATCTCACAACAAAAGACTATACATGTGTAATTACAATTACTGTCTGCCATCTTTGTTTCTGTCTGTTACACAACATTATATCAATTACCCTCGAAGCACTCGTTTGGGTAAATTACTACTATCCAAACATGTAGGCCTACTGCTCTTATTAAACAATGATTTGATTACATCACACCAAGCTATAATGTATGAATGTTACAAGTATTATTAGAGGCTGCCTTACCAAGGCAATTGGGAAAGATGAAGAAAAAAAGCACAGGGCTTGGGCAGTGAGCTGCTTGGTGCTGGGCAGTGAGCTGCTTGGTGCTGGGCAGTGAGCTGCTTGGTGCTGGGCAGTGAGCTGCTTGGTGCTGGGCAGTGAGCTGCTTGGTGCTGGGCAGTGAGCTGTTTGGTGCTGGGCAGTGAGCTGCTTGGTGCAGAGTGGAGTGGACATCATAACTCACCCTGCACGCTACGCAACGCATACTGTACAACCTCAACACACAGAACTGTCGAAGCAGTGTAGCTGTGTGCCATGATCCTGCTGTGTGGATCATTTGTGAGCAAGCTGGCAGATGGAACGAGGATTTTGGATAAGATGCATTTGGAGAGGATCCATCATCCATCCCAAAGCATCTAAACAAGCAGATTCTCTAGTCTAAAACCATGCTGGAACTACGACATATTAATGTCTTGCCACTGCAAGAGCGGCTTTATCATGTGTTGAATGAAAGAATCACACACCAAAACATAACATATCTTAAATCAAATCTCATTTTATTTGTCACATGCGCTGAATACAACTGGTGTAGACTTTACCGTGAAATGCTTGCTTACGAGCCCTTCCCAACGATGCTGCACAGTAGATTTTACAAATAATAATAAAAATAAAATAGTAACACAAGAGGAATAAAATAACATACATAAGAATGGAGCTATATACAGTACCAGTACCAGATCAATGTGCAAAGGTACGAGGTATTTGAGGTAGATATTTACATGAAGGCAGGGTAAAGTGACTAGGCATCAGGATATATATATATAATAATAAGAGTAACATAAAGAACAAAGTATTATGTGTTAATATAAAAACAGACAACCCAATAATGATGATCAATTTAGAGCCATGAAGCCTATCTGAAGAGTTTGACAATAAAACCTAAGTAGGGGAACTATTTTTACACCACTTTTAGGTTTCACTATACATTCTATACATTCTCCCAGACACTGGACACAAAAAACAGCTAGATCAGCCTTAGCCTTAGAAAATCCCCCAATTATGCCATCCTCAGCCTATAACAATGACCACCGAGGCCTGGAGTTGACCGTCTATGACAGGAGCCAGTGCTAGTGGCTCTTATCATCAGCTGCAGCACTAGGGAGGCTCCGGAGAGGCGGGGCTGGGACAACAACAAAAGCCAGAAAGCCGCTGGGTCCTAATTTTCTGTGTGTAACCCTCATCTGGAGTCTGTGTAGCTACCTTTCCCTGACTCCCCCTGCACTCTGTCCTGCTGCAGCTTCATTGAGTGGAGCTTGTTTCTTCAAAGGGTTTGAAGCGAGTTCAGAGGCATGTCAGTTTGGCACAGCAGCACTATGCTGACTCTCCCAACAGCCCCAAGCTGATAAAGAACAGTAGGAATAGGATGTTTACTTAACTTAAAGCTTACTGTTTGACAGTATGCATCAATGACAAGTCATATACACATTCCTATTAGTATTTAGGTTCTAGAATTTAGGACTAGATGATATGGAGTGGGGGAAGGGGTTAGGCAGGGGAAATGCTTTACTTTTTCATGACACTGTAGGCCTAATGACATAATATGGTGTATTAGGAGGATCTTCGCTTAATTATGTAATAAGATGGGTAATCCTAGTCAGTAACTTAATTGGACATGACCGGTCACATGGTGCGACCCAAATGCTTCAGCGTGACGAGGGAGGGAGGGGGCGAGAGAGAGGGGGAGCAAGAGAGAGAGGGAGGGAGAGAAAGCGTGAACAAGAGAGAAAGAGTGATAGGGTAACTGTTGCTGACATTGTTCTTTTCATGACACATCATGGTAGAGGCTCCTGGAGGAGGTGGAGGGATGCAGGGAGGGGAGCGGCGGCTCTGACTAGGGCTCCGGGGCTGTCCGTCACTGTCGTCCTGGTGTAACGCAGCCTGACAGACACACGCTTCCCTTGCTCTCGGCTTCTAATGGACTGGCATGACATGGGCCTTCTCCACGGAGCAGTGGAGGAGAGAGTCTCCGGAAGCAGGCACTGAAACGCACTCGGGATATCAACCTAGTGGGGGGGAATGAATCACAGTGTTGGGGATCACAGGCTGCATCTGCTCTAGCCTGGAACTGAAGTAGAATAATGTGTGGGGAAATCCAGTGTCATCTATGAGTCTTGCACGGCTTAGTGATGTTGTTAGTTAGGCTTTGCTCTTTTAGTGTAGCCTCTTCTCTCCATTGCTTTGTGTCTGAAGAACTCAAAAAGATTCTGTGTAACACTGTGGGGAAAATCTGCATATGTCAATAAGACTAATCAAAGTAGATTTATTAACAAACCACAGAACCTCATAATTTATGTTGGTAGTTACAGTAGAATTGACAGGGGATACAATATCTATGGTTGAAAAGAGCAGAGAGAAACTGTCAATAGAGAAAGCAGTCAATGCAGTGTTAAAAAAATGGAATGCCCACACATTTCCAGAAGTGCTGATGTCATTGCGTTCCCAGTTAAAGCCAACTTATGCTTTATCTGACAATTTGGTCGGAGGCGCCGTATGGATGGTGTGACGCAATCGCGGAGCTTCCGGAGGCACGCAGAGGGCAAATCGAGTCTGTACCACATCGCCGTGCGCCTCTTAAATTTTTTAACAATGCGGAGGGCTCCGTATTGCTCCGCATTGACATGATTGGTTGACGGTAGGTGAGGGTGGGAGGTCCTGTATAAACAAAAACTAACTTCCTTCACAACAGCTCTGCGCTGTCAAGTGAAGTGCAAGGAGTATGAATGCCCTGACTTCTGCAGAGTCCGGGTCACAATAAATGCTTCACGGCCAATGCAGACGTCCGAATGACCATGCAGCGCCTTTAACAGTGCAGGTATCCCCTCTGCTGCATCATACAACACAGTAGGATATTGGCCCAAATATCTCACCTGTTTCATACGGATAAGACCTTTGCTATTGGAAAATGTCATAAATGCCATCTTTATTTACGACTGAATTTACGGTGCCTTCAGAAAGTATTCACACCCCTTGACTTTTTCCACATTTTGTATTCACACCCCTTGACTTTTTCCACATTTTGTATTACAGCATGGATTTAACATCTATTACGTTGAGATTTTGTGTCACTGATCTACACACAACACATTACATTTACATTTGAGTCATTTAGCAGACGCTCTTATCCAGAGCGACTTACAGTTAGTGCATACATCATTTTTTATACTGGCCCCCCGTGGGAATCGAACCCACAACCCTGGCGTTGCAAACGCCATGCTCTACCAACTGAGCTACATCCTTGCCGGCCATTCCCTCCCTTACCCTGGACGACGCTGCGCCAATTGTGCGCCGCCCCATGGGTCTCCCGGTCGCGGCCGGCTACGACAATACCCCATAATGTCAAAGTGGAATTATGTTTTTAGAAATTAATTAAAAGATACATCTGAAATGTCTTGAGTCATTACATATTCAAACCTTTATGGCAAGCCTAAATAAGTTCAGGAGTAAAAATGTCACTTAATAAGTTGCATGGACTCTGTGCGCAATAATAATGTTTAACATGATCTTGGAATGACTACCCACCTCTGTACCTCATACACACAGTTATCTGTAAGGTCCCTAAGTCAAGCAGTGAATTTCAAGCACAGATTCAACCACAAAGACCAAGGAGGTTTTCCTATGGTTTGCAAAGACAGCCACCTATTGGTAGATGGGTAAAACAAATTGATATCACTGAGCATAGTGCAGTTATTAATTTTACACTTTGGATAGTGTATCAATACACCCAGTCACTCCAAAGATACAGGCGTCCTTCCTAACTCAGTTGCCGGAGAGTAAGGAAACCACTCAGGGGCTTCACCATGAGGCCAATGGTGACTTTAAAACAATTACAGAGTTGATTGGCTGTGATAGGAGAAAACTGAGGATGGTCAACAACATTGTAGTTACTCCACAATACTAACCTAAATGACAGAGTGAAAAGAATATAGCCTGTACAGAATAAAAAATCTTCCAAAACATGCATCCTGTTTGCAATAAGAAACTAAAGTAATACTACAACAAATGTGGCAGAGAAATACACTTTTTGTCCTGAATACATAGCGTTATGTTTGGGGCAAAATCGAACACATAATTGAGTACCACTATTCATATTCTCAAGCATGGCGTTGGCTGCATCATGTTATGTTTATGCTTGTCTTCGGCAAGGACTAGGTAGTTTTTAAAGATTAAAATAAACGTAACAGAGCTAAGCGCAGGAAAACCTGATTTTGTCTGCTTTCCAACAGACACTGGGAGACAAATTCACCTTTCAGCAGGTCAATAACAAGGCCAAATATACACTGGAGTTTCATACCAAGAAGATATAGAATGTTCCTGAGTGGCCTAGTTACAGTTTTGACTTAAATCGGTTTGAAAATCTATGGCAAGACTTGAAAATGGCTGTCTAGCTCTGATCAACAACCAACTTGACGATATAAAAAAAAAAAAAAAGAATGGATAAATATTGTACAAACCAGGTGTGCAAAGCTCTTAGAGACTTACCCAGAAAGACTCAAAGCTGTAATTACTGTCAAAGGTTATCTAATCAAGATGTATTAGTGATTTTATTTCCCATTTAATAAAAAAATGTTTCTTCCACTTTGACATTACAAGTATTTTGTGAAGATCATTGAAGTAAAAATGACAATTAAATCTATTTTAATCCCACAACAAAAAGTGGAAAACGTTAAGGGGTGTGAATACTTTCTGAAAGCACTGTAAATTGTCTTAACATCTTCAAAGATCCCCTTGTGTAAGGGAATTCAAAACCCAGCACAAGAGAGAAAGAACACCCATCCGTTTATCCATGAAGAGTGCCAGCAGTATTTCCTGCATTACTGTTGGGATGGTGATGCAATCACACTTCTTTATTTGCCTCCATGGCAGAAGGAGCCATTGCATTAGTTGCTAGGCAATGTGGCCGTGTGTAAATTGCCAAAGAGTAGGTGGAAGGTGTGATTTGATAACAGTGGAATGTAGCCAAAATAGATGTACCTTTAATATTGCAATGTCAGGATGTTTGCATATTATGTGTATACAAGACATGGCTTACATACATAAAATATTGCCTTGATTTTCCTAGTCAAAAGGCATTCTCGGTTTCACTTCTAAATGTCTGGTCTAAAGAGCTGATTTTATCAATATTATATGGTTTTGTAAATGTATACCAGTAACCCACTCACCATCATACAAAAAGGTTAATAAACACTTTTTATTTTTTTTACTGGCGCCACCTTGTGTCCATTTCTGGGCAGAGACATTTTGTGACACTTCAAATGAATGAAGAAACATAATTTTGTTTCATTGGGAAAATAAATGAACACAAAAAAGACAAATGGACATTGTTACAAAAAAAATATATATATATATATACACACTAATGTAATTTGTAGTACAATATTGAGTGCGTTAGTTTCCTGTCAAGGACTGGCTTTTTCCCTTTCTCTGCACTCTCCCCGGCCGTCTCTGACTGAACCTTACAGGAAAATGGATTTAACAAACGTAAAAAAAATAAAAATCATGTGAAATACCCACTTCAAATGGGCTAAACCTAGTTATTGTCCACGTCGGAATCGTCGAAGATATAAGACGCGGGGCTGGAGCTCCAATGGACGCTCTCTTCCAGGGAGATTACGGAGCTGAAGCTATCCATGAAGAGGTCACTGTTACTGCTGCTACTGCTGCTGCTACTGCTACTGCTGCTGCTACTGCTACTGCTGCTGCTACTGCTGCTGCTGCTGCTGATCACCATCACCTCCTCCGGCTGGGCTGTGTGAAGAGACAGTGGAAGGCACCATGAGAGCCCTTCATAGACCCACACTGACCTGGGTCGTGTTCGGTAGGGCACACCATAGCAAAATGATTTGCAATGGAAAATGAAAACCTCTGTTCTTACTGGATGACCTGTCCCCATTTAAAACCTTTTTCTTCCCACTGAACACGGCCCTGGTATAACGTATCTGTTTCTCACCACTGAACACGGCCCTGGTATAAAGTACCTGTTTCTCACCACTGAACACGGCCATGGTATAAAGTACCTGTTTCTCACCACTGAACACGGCCCTGAAATAAAGGATCTCTGTTTCTCCCTACTGAACACAGCCCTATTATACAGCATATGTTTCTCCACTATGCGGATATGGCCCCTGCAATTCCCTACACACTTGTTGAATGACTTTGATTTCACTTATCACTCACAAACATCCGTCCGTCCGTCCATCCATCCATCCATCCATCCATCCATCCAGCCGCCACATCTCCACCCATGAATTCCAAGGCCTCCCCTCAACAACCTCTGCGAACCTAGGAGCGGGGCGAACGCACCTCTCACCTTTCCTCTCAGCGATGACCGCCAGGCGTCTTTGCTTCATGTCGGGGCTGAGCTGCTCCACCATGCGATCGATGCAGTTGTCCAGCACCAGTGAGTGGGTCTGCGACAGGATGGCCTGCCGGCAGATGGGGCACTCGTCCTTCCGCTTGCGCCACTCACTGATGCAGTGCAGGCAGAAGCTGTGGGCGCAGTTAAGCGTCACCGCCTGTAGGGGAGATATGAAAGAGGATCGAAACCAGCTCAGATTAAAGGCTCAGTGCATTCAATGAGGTGCGCACTTGGATATTTCAACAACCGGTTGGTCGATTTTGACATGTGACCCCTCTATCGAAAGCTCTGGATCAGTAGAATTAAATTAGCACAATTGCAAGCCACTGTGATTGCATCATATATCCAGAAGATGGCGACAAAACAGTGCCTGTTGTGATTGAAACAAACTACTGACTTTATCTTCAAACACATTCTTGGACATGTAAAACGATGGAAACTCATTGAAATCGACTCGGAATGAGAGAGAGAGACACTAGAGTATCTTTTCAAGTGGTTTTATTCGATCAGACACTACTTTTGGTAACAAAAACAACAAAGGTAAGACGCAGTTTGTTATTGACGTTCTTTGATTAATAGTTTAGTGAGTGTTGGTCATTGAGGAACACGGCTATCACTGTTGGAATCTTTGAGGTAGCAGCTTTCGAATAGTGTATCGTTTGTGTAGATAGAAAAATAAGTTCTGTCTACGAATATACGGGCATGCACGGTTTCAAAATACACTACTGGTTTTGCTATATGCTTATATATTTGCTTGGAGTCTGAATATTATTTCATTTGGGCAACAACAGTTTAGCTAGATTCACAGTTGAGACGCTTCTCGTTCCAGTAGTGTATAACATTCAGGTATTCACACGTTTAAAAACCGTACTACGTCATTGTTTGAGATTGCGGGAGGAGTATCCCGGATATGGGGAACCTCGTCATGAAGAGGTTAAGATATTTATTATGAGACCCATCTTAATTTTCTATAAGAAGTTGGTCATTATTAGTGGGTGTGCATTGTATTGTGCATGGTTCTGGTTAAATTTGTAACAAAAATTACATTATGGTTGTGGAAGGCTTATATTTAGCCTAGGTATAACACTTTTTTTGTTGTTATTATGATTTTTTTTTACATGCAGTGTATTGACATTTAATTGTGCAACAAAGCTTATTTAGAGAAAACATTAAAAAAAAACTAGATATATTGCGAATCGCCCATAAATGTGAGAAAAAAAATATATATATGCATTTTAACCCATATCGCCCAGCCCTAGTTGAAAATACAATCTACACAGGACCTTCTAATCAGCAGGTTTTGAACGGGTGGAGTTTTGGCTTGCCCGGTGACATCAACAGGCGGTATTACATTTGAATAGACCAATAACAAGGAGTTCCTAACCTCTCTGCCAATATCAGCTAGTTTTCCCCTCTCCACTACTCACAGACAGTCCTAGCAAAATTATTGCTTGAGAAATAGTTTTTGCTAAAAAGCTATTTTAGTTTCTTTTTGACCATTTTAATGGAAAACTATTACAGCAAAGTACTAAATTATTACCCAGAAATGATTTGATATTGAGATAAAAACGGCTGCATTGTGCCTTTACCCTAATCTTTCGTTGTGATAACATTGGGATTACAGATTGAGATTACAGTACAGCGTCTTCCAGTCAGTAGCTATACTCCTAGACAGAGAAGTACATTTAACTGTACACGAGACTGTTATTGATATCCAATGGGAACTCCATAAAACTGGTCAAAATATTTACCCTCATGAAGAGCTCAGAACAAATGATGCATTGAAGTTCGTTCTCCAGCACCTCCGTCATTTGTGTTACCACCTCCTCCTTTTGAGTTCTCGCCCTCTCCTTCTCTTCCTGCAAGACAAAACATTGCTTTGAAACCTCACCCATTTATTTTCATCCAGGTATGTCAAGTGAAGTCAGTATCATTCAACAGAGTTAGGAAATTCAATTGAGTGAGTAAATCACACTGGAGGGAGCTTACTTTTGTCACCTCCAGCTCCTTGTCTTTGGCCTTGAGGACATCCTCGAAGCCTTGTCGAGAGAGTGCAAGTTCCTCTATAACTTTCCTTTGCTATATGGATTGCAACAGATTCAAGATTGGTTACATTCAATTAATACAGTTACATCGGGCCACCTTTAATACATGAGCTCAATGTTTTCTGTTGCTTACCTCTTGCAATGCCTCCTCCAACTGTTTTTTCAAACCCTCCTCTTCATGCTGTGTTTTTTGCACCTTTAAAACAACAAATAATATAAAATAATATGCCATTTAGCAGACGCTTTTATCCAAAGCGACTTACAGTCATGCATGCATACATTTTTACGTAAAACAACAAACACATTTGCCAGTGTTAAATGAGCAGACCTTGATCCTTATCAAATACATATTTGCTCTACTATACACGGTTGTGTAAGATTCCCCCCCCCCCCCCCCCCACCTTCAATCGACACACAATACCCCATAATGACAAAGCAAAAACCGGTTCAGAAAGTTCTGCAAATTTATAAAAAATTACAAACTAAAATATCCCATTTACGTAAGTATTCAGACCCTTTACTCAGTACTTTGTTGAAGCAACCTTTGGCAGCGATTACAGCCTCGAGTCTTCTTGGGTATGACGCTACAAGCTTGGCACACCTGTATTTGGGGAGTTCCTCCTATTCTTCTCTGCAGATCCTCTCAAGCTCTGTCAGGTTGGATGGGGAGCGTCGCAGCACAGCTATTTTCAGGTCTCGCCAGAGATGTTCGATCCGGTTCAAGTCCGGGCTCTGGCTGGGCCACTCAAGGACATTCAGAAGCCACTCCTACATTGTCTTGGCTGTGTGCTTAGGGTCGTTGTCCTGTTGGAAGGTGAACCTTCGCCCCAGTCTGAGTTCCTGAGCGCTCTGGAGCAGGTTTTCATCAAGGATCTCTCTGTACTTTGCTCCGTTCATCTTTCCCTCAATCCTGACTAGACTCCCAGTCCCTGCCGCTGAAAAACATCCCCACAGCATGATGCTGCCACCACCGTGCTTCACCATAGGGATGGTGCCAGGTGTCCTCCAGACATGACGCTTGGCATTCAGGCCAAATCTTGGTTTCATCAGACCAGAGAATCTTGTTTCTCATGGTCTGAGAGTCCTTTAGGTGCCTTTTGGCAAACTCCAAGCGGGCTGTCATGTGCCTTTTACTGAGGAGTGGCTTCCGTCTGGCCACTCTACCATAAAGGCCTGATTGGTGGAGTGCTGCAGAGATGGTTGTCCTTCTGGAAAGTTCTCCCAACTGCACAGAGGAACTCTAGAGCTCTGTCAAGAGTGACCATCGGGTTCTTGGTCACCTCCCTGACCAAGGCCCTTCTCCCCCGATTGCTCAGTTTGGCCGGGCGGCCAGCTCTAGGAAGAGTCTTGGTGGTTCCAGACTTCTTCCATTTAAGAATGATGGAGGCCACTGTGTTCTTGGAGACCTTCAATGCTGAATAAATGTTTTGGTACCCTTCCCCAGATCTGTACCTCGCCACAATCCTGTCTCGGAGCTGTACGGACAATTCCTTCGACCTCATGGCTTGGTTTTTGCTCTGACATGCACTGTCAACTGTGGGACCTTATATAGACAGGTGTGTGCCTTTCCAAATCATGTCCAATCAATTGAATTTACCACAGGTGGACTCCAATCAAGTTGTAGAAACATCTCAAGGATGATCAATGGAAGCAGGATGCACCTGAGATCAATTTAGAGTCTCATAGCAAAAGGTCTGAATACTTATGTAAATAAGGAATCTGTTTTTTTTATTTCATACATTTGCAAAAAATTCTAAGAACCAGTTTTCGCTTTGTCATTATGGGGTTTCGTGTGTAGATTGATGAGGGAAAATGTTAATTTAATCCATTTTAGAATAAGGCTTTAACGTAACAAAATGTGGAAAAAGGGAAGGGGTCTGAATACTTCCCGAATGCACTGTATGTAAATGAGATATTTATGTATTTCATTTTCAATAAATTTGATACAATTTCTAAAAACATGTTTGTACTATGTCATTATGGGGTATTGTGTGTAGGTGGTTGAGGAAAACCCCCCAATTCAATCCATTTTGAATTCAGGCTGTAACAACAAAATGTGGAATAAGTCAAGGGGTATGAATACTTTCTGAAGGCACTGTGATCACGACAACAACAAAAAAAATAGGCTTGCAACGGGGTATAGGTCTGTAAATTCTATGTGAATGGAGGATAATCTTAGAAAAAGCAGGAATTCTGGATGAATCCCTGATATCCCCCTAGTGAGGCTCACCTCCAGGCGGTTCTCTGTCTTGCTGATGGACCTCTCCAACATCTCCATCCTGTGCAGCTGGCCCCTCAGCAGCTCCAGCTGGCTCCGCAGCTCCCTCACCTGCTCCTCCCGGTGGGGGTCGTCCTGCTGTCGCCCCCCCTCGCCCTCCAGGGCCTCCACCCGCCGCTGGGTGACGTCCATCTGCTCCCGCAGCACCAGCATGTTCTGGCTGTACCTAGCAGCCAATCAGTACATTTTTGTTTTTCAGTCTGGATGTTAATAATGAGAACACCAGGGCTTTTAAAAAATGTATACAAATCTGTCCTCCTTTCCTCTCCTTCATCGTGCTGATCTAGGGTTGCAAGATTTCGCTAACTTTCACGAAATTCCCAGGTTTTTCAGAAATCCTGGTTGGAGAATCCGGATTTCCTGCTTATTCCCTAGTGATTCCGGGAATCTTCCAAACAGGATTTCTGGAAAACCTGGGAATTTTGGGAAAGTTACCAGATTTTGGCAACTCTATGCTAATCTAAAATAATTGACCTGGTGAAAGCCAGCCTAATGATGAGCTTCCACCATATTGTTTCACCTGTCAAGTCTTTTCCAATCAGTGCAGACAAGAAATGAAACGAGGAGAGGACAGACTTCTAGACAATTGAGAAAGAGCCATATTCTCTTTTATATAGAACCTGCCAAATATGTTATGAATGTAGCAGTAGGAGCAACAGGAGACACAGACGTACATTTGCAGGCTGGACAGATCCCTGCTAGGTCTGCTGGGTCCCTCTGGAGGCGAGTCCAGCCTCCGATGCTGCCACATGCTGGGCCCGGCCTCCTCCCGTACCCTGTTCCCTGGCCTGTCCCGGGGCTCGTCTGTGGGGCAGGGCTGGCCCTGGGACTTGTCTGTGGCAGAGTGGCGGTAGAGCTTGGATTTAGATGAGGTTGAAGGCTCCAGTTCATCAGAGTTACATTTCCTTTTAGTCTTCTTGGTTCTGGAGGTGGCGCAGGCCACTTCACTAGGTCCCTTCACTAGGTAGGGTTTGATGTCCTCGAGGCGCTGCCGAACCAGTATGTACTCATACTCCACTTTGGTGCCGACGATGGGCACCCCCAACTTTATCGCGTCCCCAAGCCTCAGCAGGTGAGCTTTGTCCACAGGAATTCGTTCTCCATTCACCCACACACCATTAAGGCTCTGGAAAAAGAATGTAAACTTTTTATAATAAAAACACTCACCGTTTCATTTTCAATTGGATATATGGAGAAGCTGTACCTTCTTATCGGTCACCGTCCATTGGCCGTCGTCTCGTTGCTTTAACATACAGTGCAGTCTGGATATCATTAGGGGGCAGCTTGGGGACACGAGCTGGTGAGTGACATTAAAACCACGTCCAATTGTGACCTGAGAAAAGAATGGAGCTTAGGGAATTTCATTCACATAGTAGCTCGTTCTACTTTTTTGCATAATGTTAACAATATTTTTTGGGGCATACAGCAGATTAAGAGTCCATAGTTATCTCTATGATAGAGAAATGTTCCTGTGACGTTACTGTATGTGACATGCAGGCGCGACCCGTCATTCAGGGCAGGTGGGGCCTGTTTTGCATGTTATTTTGGCATGAATACATGTCACATATCAGTTTGCAAAGAATGAAAAAGAAAATAATCATTGAGTTAAAAAAGTCGCATTCAAACATGGTCTCTTTTTTGCTTTCTTGGGTAAGGCAGCTCCAAAATGCAGGTGTTTCAGCCTAGCTCAGTGGTGGTGGGGCAGCCAGCGGAAAATACGGAGCGTAGGGGTTGGTCATGTTCTCTAGTTGTGCCGTGATTGGCTCAGTGTTCTGTCACTCATGGGGACACTGTCACTGCACCCTTGGGTGCTGCCATATAATTACATTAGAAGTGCCCATCCAAGAAGGCTCAAAGTCATTGGCCACAGATAAAATGACGTCTATTCACATTATATCTACCGTAGCTTTGATTGGACTGATCATGTCAACATCAAACTTTCAAAATCTTAGCTAGCAGTCACCATCATGAATCAAGTCCACAATCTACCGGCAAATCCTTTTCAATCCTTGTCATATGAAGAGAAATTATAGATCAAACGTATCAGTGCTCATCGGCCATAAACATTACACAACAAGTTGGAAAACGCAAATTCAACAATGAGTGGTTTGGATGGAATCAGTGGCTAACTGCAAGTGTTGCAAAGCAATCACTAGCCTGCTATTCAGTGGAGTGGGTGTGTGGTCCAAGTCTGGGTTTAAGGGTCTCTTTTCCAAGCTTAAAATAATAAACATTCAACACAATGGGCCAAAAAAGGTTGAATATATTGGCCATGCTGTCAATCCAGCATGACTTCTGCCGCGTTCAAAACAACTGGAAACGCGGAACTGGAAAATCTCAGACTTCAAGACAACTGGGAACTAGTTTTGAATGGTCATCCAACTCGGAATTCCAAGTTGGGAACTCGGGCCTCTTTCTAGAGCTCCGACCTGAACATCACTGACGTCATGATTCGACCTTGTTTCCCCCCCCCACCGAGTTCCCAGTTGTCTTGAAAGCACCATAAATCCAGAGAATACCAGACTTTGATGACAAAGTTTGATGACAACATTTGCCCACGAAGGACCGCCGCGTGTTTTTCCTGTTCAAGTGAGCACAGCACAACAAGGTGAGTCCAAAAATGTATTGTATGCTTCTGCATAAATTATGTAATATGCCAGGGAGATATGTATACTGTAGCTAAGAAAGTAATACTAAGTGTATGTTGTGTAGTAAGCTGTTAGTAGCCCGTGTGCCTCACCGTAATAATTTGGTCCCTTTCTGTTTTAGAGAAATGTAATCATCAAATATTGTAAGTGCTTTCATTGTCTGCTTATATGCCCCCTTTATTTATCCTACGGTTCTGACTTGGTGTACAGGGAGAACACTGTAAGAACGGCCCATGTTCTGAATTCTGTCGCTGTACATTTCAAAAGTGCTGAACAAAGATGACTACGTCAGTCCTAGATCGCTTAATAATGTCTTCACCGAAATTACGGATTGCCTCTTATTCGCTCGTCGACCACTTATGCCATACTTTGTACATCTCAATTGTCAGTAGAAACCACATTTGTTTAAGCAAGTCAGCCATATCAGCTATGTTTTTGTAAAACGTAGTAAATAAGGCTGAATGAACCGCTTCGCTGCCAGACAAGGCTCCGCTGATAGCCAGGTGTAGCAGTAGTAAGGATTCACTCCATGGTGCTGAAAAGAAAGCTCTGCTGTTGGGACAGCTTTATGTAGGCCCTAACAGTTTGTGGGCACCGTTTGTCACCGTTCTAGTGCAATTTATGTATTGTTTAGTGTTGTGCTGTGTAGTGGCTTTGCTGGCATGCAGTGGTGATTTTAGCATGTAAATCTTGGTTGGGCAAACTCGTTGGGCAAAGCCACAACAAAACACTAAACAACACATTAATTGCACTATAAACGGTGACATATGGTGCCCACAAACTGTTAGGGCCTACATAAAGCTGTCCCAACACCTTACCACTGCTACACCTGGCTATCAGAAAAGCCTTGTCTGGCAGCGAAATAATTCATAGCAGAGCCCCACCTGCCCTAAATGACAGGTCGCTACTGCTGGCTTGCATCTACAAACATATCTATTTTTTTGCCCCACCAAGATTTACATGCTAAAAATCGCCACTGGTGACATGTATTGTATGTTGTATTGTATATTGGTTTGTAAGCCATGTACTGTAGCTATGGCTTGGGCCTAGTAGCACCCCTAACTATAGTAACATTCTGCGTGTGAGAACTGTAGGTCTGGTGTTATTTGCTGCTACTATGTAACGTTACACATGCGAGGCTACTAAGTTAGCCATGGTCTACTAGGCTAGTTTGCCTATGATAAATCTTGGTTGGAACCTAAATTATTTCCCAATCGTTTAGTTCTGAATAGAACCATTATACAGTGACCGTACGTACATACCCCAACCAGAAGCCATGGATTACAGGCAACATCCGCACTGAGCTAAAGGGTAGAGCTGCCGCTTTCAAGGAGCTGGACTCTAACCCGGACGCTTATAAGAAATCCAGCTATGCCCTCCGACGAACCATCAAACAGGCAAAGCATCAATACAGGACTAAGATTGAATCGTACTATACCGGCACCGACGCTCGTCGGATGTGGTAGGGCTTGCAAACTATTACAGACTACAAAGGGAAGCACAGCCGCGAGCTGCCCAGTGACACAAGCCTACCAAACGAGCTAAATTACTTCTATGCTCGCTTCGAGACAAGCAACACTGAAGCATGAATGAGAACATCAGCTGTTCCGGACGACTGTGTGATTACACTCTCCGTAGCCGATGTGAGTAAGACCTTTAAACAGGTCAACATTCACAAGGCCGCAGGCCCAGATGGATTCCCAGGACGTGTACTCCGAGCATGCGCTGATCAACTGGCAAGTGTCTTCACTGACATTTTCAACCGGTCCCTGACTGAGTCTGTAATACCAACATCTTTCAAGCAGACCACCATAGTCCCTGTGCTCAAGAACCCTAAGTTAACCTGCCTAAATTACTACCTAACCGTAGCACTCACATCTGTAGCCATAAAGTGCTTTAAAAGGCTGGTCATGGCTCACATCAACACCATTATCCCAGAATCCCTAGACCCACACCAATTTGCATACCGCCCCAACAGATCCACAGATGATGCAATCTCCATTGCACTCCACACTGCCCTTTCCTACCTGGACAAAAGGAACACCTACGTGAGAATGCTATTCATTGACTAAAGCTCAGCGTTCAACACCATAGTGCCCTCAAAGCTCATCACTAAACTAAGGACCGTGGGAACTAAACACCTCCCTCTGCAACTGGATCCAGGACTCCCTGACGGGCCGCCCCCCAGGTGGTAAAGGTAGGTAACAATACATCTGCCACGCTGCCCCTCAGGGGTGCGTGCGCAGTCCCCTCCTGTTCACCCATGACTGCATGTCCAGGCACTACTCCAACACCATCATTAAGTTTGCAGACTACGATGAGACAGCCTATAGGGAGGAGGTCAGAGACCTGGCCATGTGGTGCCAGGATAACAACCTCTCCCTCAATGTGACCAAGACAAAGGAGATGATTGTGGACTACAGGAAAAGGAGGACCGAGCACGCCCCCATTCTCATCGACATTGACAGAGCTGTAGTGGAGCAGGTTGAGAGCTTCAAGTTCCTTGGTGTCCACATCACCAACAAACTATCATGGTCCAAACACACCAAGACAGTTGTGAAGAGGGGCACGACAAAGCATGGGTCCTCAGATCCTCAAAAATGTCTACAGCTGCACCATCGAGAGCATCCTGAATGGTTGCATCACCGCCTGGTATGGCAACTGCTCGACCTCCGACCGCAAGGCACTACAGAGGGTAGTGCATATGGCCCAGTACATCACTGTGGCCAAGCTTCCTGCCATCCAAGACGTCCATACCAGGCGGTGTCAGAGGAAGGCTCTAAAAAATTGCCAAATACTCCAGCCACCCTAGTCATAGACTGTTCTCTCTGTTACCACATGGCAAGCGGTACCGGAGCGCCAAGTCTAGTTCCAAAATGCTTCTTAACAGCTTCTAACCCCAAGCAATAAGACTCTTGAACAGCTAATCAAATGGCTACCCGGACTATTTGCATTGTCCCCCCCCACCCCCTCTTTTTCCGCTGCTGCTACTCTCTGTTTATTATCTATGCATAGCGACTTTACCTCTAACCACATGTACATATTATCTCAATTACCTCCACTAACCTGTGCACCCGCACATTTACTCTGTACCGGTACCCCCTGTATATAGCCTCGCTACTGTTATTTTACTGCTGCTCTTTAATTTTATAATTATCTATTTTTTACTTAACACTTATTTTTCTTAAAACTGCATTGAATCAACTTTAGGAGACGGTCCTGGCGCTTGCTTGACTTTCTTAGGCGCCCTGACGCCTTCTTCACAACAACTGAACCTCTCTCTTTGAAGTTCTTGATGATCCGATAAATGATTAATTTAGGTGCAATCTTACTAGCAGCAATATCCTTGCCTGTGAAGTCCTTTTTGTGCAAAGCAATGATGACGGCACGTGTTTCCTTGCAGGTAACCATGGTTAACAGAGGAAGAACAATGATTTCAAGCACCACCCTCCTTTTAAAGCTTCCAGTCTGTTATTCTAACTCAATCTGTGATCTCCAGCCTTGTCCTCGTCAACACTCTCACCTGTGTTAACAAGAGAGTCACTGACATGATGGCAGCTGGTCCTTTTGTGGCAGGGCTGAAATGCAGTGGAAATGTTTTTTGGGGATTAAGTTCATTTTCATGGCAAAGAGGGACTTTGCAATTAATTGCAATTCATCTGATCACTCTTCATGACATTCTGGAGATTATGCAAATTGCCATCATAAAAACTGAGTCAGCAGACTTTGTGAAAATTAATATTTGTGTCATTCTCAAAACTTTTGACCACGACTGTATATCCCCCCTCAAGCCGATACCACAACGGCCCTCAAAGAACTTCACTGGACTTTATGCAAACTGGATTTTAACAAAGCAAATTTGAGGACTAGGCTGCCGAAGTTCTATCAACATATCAACTGTTGTTCTCGGGCTGCTAAAATCCTCAACCATTGCTATTCGAACTTCCGGGATGGTTATAAGGCCCACCCCCGCCCTCCTTTTGGCAAATCTGACCACGACTCCATTTTGCTTCTCCCTTCCTATAGGCAGAAACTCAAACGGGAAGTACCCGTGCTAAGGACTATTCAACGCTGGTCTGACCAATCGGAATCCACGCTTCAAGATTGTTTTGATCACGCGGACTTGGGTATGTTCCAGGTAGCTTGCGAAAATAATTTAGACGAATACACTGAAACGGTGACTGAGCTTATCAGGAAGTGTATAGGTGATGTTCTGCCCACTGTGACTATTAAAACCTACCCTAACCAGAAACCGTGGATAGATGGCAGCATTCGCGCAAAACTGAAAGCGCGAACCACCGCATTTAACCATGGCAAGGTGACTGGGAATATGGAAGAACAGTGTAGCTACTCACTCCACAAGGCAATTAAACTGGCAAAACATCAGTATAGGAGACAAAGTGGAGTCACAATTCAACGGCTCAGACACAGGACGTATGTGGCAGGGTCTACAGACAATCACGGACTACAAAAGGAAAACCAGCCACGTCGCCAACACTGACGTCTCGCTTCCAGACAAGCTAAACACCTTCTTCACCCGCTTTGAGGATAACACAGTGCCACCGACAAGGCCCACTACCAAGGACTGTGGCCTCTCCTTCTCCGTGGCCGACATGAGTAAGATATTTAAGCATGTTAACCCCCGCAAGGCTGCCGGCCCTGAAGGCATCCCTAGCCGCGTCTTCAGAGCATGCGCAGACCAGCTGGCTGGTGTGTTTACGGACATATTCAATCTCTCCCTTTCCCAGTCTGCTGTCCCCACATTCTTCAAGATGGCCACCATTGTTCCTGTACCCAAGAAAGCAAAGATAACTGAACTAAATGACTATCGCCCCGTAGCACTCACCTCTGTCATCATGAAGTGCTTTGAGAGACTAGTCAAGGATCATATCACCTCTACCTTACCGGTCACCCTAGACCCACTTCAATTTGCTTACCGCCCCAATAGATCCACAGACGATGCAATCGCCATCACACTGCCCTATCCCATCTGGACAAGAGGAATACCTATGTAAGAATTATGTTAATTGACTATAGCTCAGCATTCAACACCATAGTACCCCCAAGCTCATCATTAAGCTCGAGGCCCTGGGTCTGAACCCCGCCCTGTGCAACTGGGTCCTGCACATCCTGACGGGCCACCCCCACGTGGTGAAGGTAGGAAACAACATCTCCACTTCGCTGATCCTCAACACTGGGGCCCCACAAGGGTGCGTGCACAGCCCCCTCCTGTACTCCCTGTTCACCCATGACAGTGTGGCCAAGCACGCCTCCAACTCAATTTGCAGACGACACAACAGTAGTAGGCTTGATTACCAACAATGACGAGACATCCTCAGGGAGGAGGTGAGTGAGGGCTCTGGGAGTGTGGTGCCAGGAAAATAACCTCTCGCTCAACGTCAACAAAACAAAGGAGATGATCGTGGACTTCAGGAAACAGCAGAGGGTGCACCCCCCTATCCACAGTGGAGAACGTGGAAAGCTTCAAGTTTCTTGGCTTACACATCACTGTCAAACTGATATGGTCCACCCACGCAGACAAGTGTGGGGAAGAAGGCGCAAAACACGAGATATGCAACTGAAATTGAGTGTGAGGAGAGCGCGAGAGAGGATGGAGGAAGCTTGTCATGAAGCGCTGGGCATCTTTTTATGACATGCCCACATAATTATATCTATGGAGGAGCCGCATCTATGGAGGAACTTTGAATGTCTTTGAACTCCCGAGTTGGTTTAATGTTGGACCAGAGCAAACGTTAACAAACGTCACTACTTTAATTAAAAACACGTCTTACCTTTTTGTAGTTAATAAATCCAATGTGAAAAGTGATAACTATAGTACCCATAACTAGCATTGAAAAAGTCAATCAATTCTTCTCTAAACATCAAATCAATCAAACCTAATTGTAACATGCTTCGTAAACAGGTGTACACTAACAGTGAAATGCTTACTTACGGGCCCTTCTCAACAGTGCATAATACAATAATACAGAAAACATTATAATAGCAATACGAGGAACAAATACACGATGAGCAATAATAGCTTGGCTATATACATGGTGTACCAGTTGCCAGGCAGACGCTGGAATACGTTTGAGTAGCAGAGTGAGGACTTTTGAACCGGTTTCAACCCTTGATTACCATTTCGCATTCATGAGGGATTTAGCTAACAGTCTAGGTAGTTAGCTAGCCAGTAGGTTGAGGTTAAACTTTAGCACCAAACAGCTAACTAGCTAAAATGTACATGCAACCAGTTTGTTTGATTCGCACCTACATTTACTAACGGCTAGCTACTGTATGCTACCTCTGTATTCTCGAACAAGCGGAGCCAGTCCAAATCTTTCCCGACTCGTGTCAAACACCATACTTCTTTCTTCGCAGATTCATTCTCTTCAGCTGTAGAAGAATTTGAGCATTCTATTTGGTCCATTTTACAACATATTACATCTAGCTAGCTGAGCAAAATGTGTCTTGTTTACCCTTCTTAGGGGTTGACAGAGCCTTCAGTGGAAATGAAATCACGTGAGTTATAAAAAAAAGTCCCAGAATGCCTCACTCTAAAACTTTTTGGGTTTCCACTACTTACCCCAGCCACAAAGTCAACATCGACTACATCGTAAAGATTTATTAAAACAAACATTTGCTTTTTGGTCTTAATTTAAGGTTAGGGTTATGCATAAGGTTAAAGGTGTGGTTAAGGTTAGAGTTAGGTTTAATATGACATTTTAAGAAGATACATTGAAGAAATGGGCGGGGTTTATGATGTTGTGGCTGTGGTAACTAGTGACGAGCAACCTTTTTCTTCATGTCTGGACCATTGATTAGTCTGGACAAGGGGTCTCCAACATGTCGCTCGCGAGCTCGCAGCTCACCTATGAGTAGCTCGTGAAGCAATTCTGAAAGTGCATGTATTCTTCACGTGTTCCACCGCATGCTGTCATAAAGAAATCTCACAAGTAAGCATGACGCTTTTGACCGCGTTGACGCTCGAGGCCCGTCTGTTTTCTAAGGTTAAAATCGTTTTACCCAGAACAGTCTTAACACTTGTAATTATCATTTTTCACTTGCTTTTTTCAAGTGTCAAATGTCTTTTTCTCCCATGTCTTTTTTCCACTTGTCCAGTGTGTGTTTCAAATCAAACCAAATCAAAATTGTATTGGTCACATACACATATTTAGCAGGCTTGTGTTCCTAGCTCCAACAGTGCAGTAGTATCCAACAATTCACAACAATACAAACAAATCTAAAAGTAAAATAATGTAATTAAGAAATATATAATTATTAGGATGAGCAATGTCAGATTGGCATTGACTAAAATACAGTAGAATAGAGTATATACATATGAAATTAGTAATTATTACCTTCACCATCTGGGGGCGGCCCGTCAAGAAGGCCAGGAACCATTAAAGCAGTATGTAAACATTATTAAAGTGACTAGTGTTCCATTATTAAAGTGACCAATTATTCCATGACTATGTACAGTGGGGAGAACAAGTATTTGATACAATGCCGATTTTGCAGGTTTTCCTACTTACAAAGCATGTAGAGGTCTGTAATTTTTATCATAGGTACACTTCAACTGTGAGAGACAGAATCTAAAACAAAAATCCAGAAACTCACATTGTATGATTTTTAAGTAATTCATTTGCATTTTATTGCATGACATAAGTATTTGATACATCAGAAAAGCAGAACTTAATATTTGGTACAGAAACCTTTGTTTGCAATTACAGAGATCATACGTTTCCTGTAGGTCTTGACCAGGTTTGCACACACAGCAGCAGGGATTTTGGCCCACTCCTCCATACAGACCTTCTCCAGATCCTTCGGTTTCGGGGCTGTCGCTGGGCAATACAGACTTTCAGCTCCCTCCAAAGATGTTGTATTGGGTTCAGGCCACTCCAGGACCTTGAGATGCTTCTTACGGAGCCACTCCTTAGTTGCCATGGCTGTGTGTTTCGGGTCGTTGTCATGCTGGAAGACCCAGCCACGACCCATCTTCAATGCTCTTACTGAGGGAAGGAGGTTGTTGGCCAAGATCTCGCGATACATGGCCCCATCCATCCTCCCCTCAATACGGTGCAGTCGTCCTGTCCCCTTTGCAGAAAAGCATCCCCAAAGAATGATGTTTCCACCTCCATGCTTCACGGTTGGGATGGTGTTCTTGGGGTTGTACTCATCCTTCTTCTTCCTCCAAACACGGCGAGTGAAGTTTAGACCAAAAAGCTCTATTTTTGTCTCATCAGACCACATGACCTTCTCCCATTCCTCCTCTGGATCATCCAGATGGTCATTGGCAAACTTCAGACGGGCCTGGACATGCGCTGGCTTGAGCAGGGGGACCTTGCGTGCGCTGCAGGATTTTAATCCATGACGGCGTAGTGTGTTACTAATGGTTTTCTTTGAGACTGTGGTCCCAGCTCTCTTCAGGTCATTGACCAGGTCCTGCCGTGTAGTTCTGGGCTGATCCCTCACCTTCCTCATGACCATTGATGCCCCACGAGGTGAGATCTTGCATGGAGCCCCAGACCGAGGGTGATTGACCGTCATCTTGAACTTCTTCCATTTTCTAATAATTGCGCCAACAATAAGCTGCTTGCCTATTGTCCTGTAGCCCATCCCAGCCTTGTGCAGGTCTACAATTGTATCCCTGATGTCCTTACACAGCTCTTTGGTCTTGGCCATTGTGGAGAGGTTGGAGTCTGTTTGATTGAGTGTGTGGACAGGTGTCTTTTATACAGGTAACGAGTTCAAACAGGTGCAGTTAATACAGGTAATGAGTGGAGAACAGGAGGGCTTCTTAAAGAAAAACTAACAGGTCTGTGAGAGCCGGAATTCTTACTGGTTGGTAGGTGATCAAATACTTATGTCATGCAATAAAATGCAAATTAATTACTTTAAAATCATACAATGTGATTTTCTGGATTTTAGATTCCGTCTCTAACAGTTGAAGTGTACCTATGATAAAAATTACAGACCTCTACATGCTTTGTAAGTAGGAAAACCTGCAAAATCGGCAGTGTATCAAATACTTGTTCTCCCCACTGTATATAGGGCAGCCGCCTCTAAGGTGCAGGGTTGAGTAACCGGGTGGTAGTCAGCTAGAGAGGGCTATTTAACAGTCTGATGGCCTTGAGATAGAAGCTGTTTTTCATTCTCTTGGTCCCAGCTTTGATGCACCTGTACTGACCTTGTCTTCTGGATGATAGCGGGGTGAACAGGCAGTGGCATAGGGCGGAGTAGATCTCCGGTCCCGGATTGGGCACTGGTGGAACGGACTGCTCCTGCACTGGAGCAGAGCAGACCTCCGGACCCGTATCCATCCCCATCTCTGGAGCAGGACTGAACGCCGTGCCCAGCCTGGACACCGATACAGTGGAGGATTCCAGCCCCTTGGATAGGCTGGCTGCCGGCCCCAGACTGGGCACTGACACGCTAAGGTGCTCCTTGCAGGGGACCGTCGCTGGAGGCTCCGTGCAGGGGACTGTCGCTGGGGGCTCCATGCAGGGAATTGTCGCTGGAGGCTCCATGCAGAGGACCATCGCTGGAGGCCGGGTGCGTTGAGCTGGGACGGGCCGTACTGGGCTGGGGACACGCACCATTGGGCTGGTGCGAGGAGCAGGCACGGGCCGTACCGGGCTGGGGAAACGCACCATTGGGCGGGTGCGTTGAGCTGGAACGGGCCGTACCGGGCTGGGGACACGCACCATTGGGCTGGTGCGAGGAGCAGGCGCGGGCCGTACCGGGCTGTGGATGCGCACCGATGGTGTGGTGCGCTGAGTCGACACGGGCCGTCCCGAGTAGTTGGTGCGCACCGATGGTGTGGTGCGCTGAGTCTGCATTTTCCGTGATCGACTCTGGACCGGCACTGGAGGCACCGGACTGGGAACTGGCGTTGGAGATCTACGACTGCTCCCCATCCTGTGAGGACTCCAACGAGTGAGGGAACAGAAGCACATCGTCGTTTTCCTCCGACTCCTCTGTGTACTCCTGCTCCCATGGTTGTAGGGGCTGTAGAGTGCAGTGGTCGGGGCTCTTCTCCCTCGATCCCCGACCACCCCCATAGGCTCCCCCCATAAAACAGTTTGGGGGTTATTCTGGGCTCTAGGCTGGTCCTTAGCCTTTCTGGCCCGTTGACGGCGGCGCTGCTCTGGACTCCAGCCCTCCTCCATCACACGGCAATGGAATAATTCCTCCTGGGTAATTTTCCCCATACCGAGGAGGATATCTGCCAATGTAATTGCCCGCTGCGTCCCTGGGTGGTGGATCATTCTGTTACAGTGCGTAGTTAAGGGACGGTAGACGGAGCGCTCGTGGAGTGACATCCTTTTTATTTAAACTTGTCACACTATAAGAATTCAAAAATAAACAAGGAGAGACAAGCACCAAGTGACTTACGTGCTGTGAACACAATAGCAGACAGGCACAAGCACAAACAATGATCTACACACAGGTGGATGTGAGAGGTACCTAAATACTATCCCCAATCAGAGACAAACTCTAGACAGCTGTCTCTCATTGGGGATCATAAACCACCCCTAGTTATGATGTGAGGGCTTGACTGTGGTCCTACCACTCCCCCTAGTGGGAGGAAGGCCTAACCACAGTCAAACACTCACAGTTTTGTTGACATTGAGGGAGAGGTTATTTTCCTGGCACCACTCCGCCAGGGCCCTCACCTCCGTGTAGGCTGTCTCGTCATTGTTGGTAATCAGGCCTACTACTGTTGTGTCGTCTGATAATTTGATGATTGAGTTGGAGGCGTGCTTGGCCACACTGTCATGGGTGAACAGGGAGTACAGGAGGGGGCTGAGCACGCAACCTTGTGGGGCCCCTGTGTTGAGGATCAGCGTAGTGTAGGTGTTGTTTCCTACCTTCACCACCTGGGGGTGACCCGTCAGGAAGTCCAGGACCCAGTTGCACAGGGTGGGGTTCAGACCCAGGGCCCTGAACTTAATGATAAACTTGGAGGGTACTATGGTGTTGAAGGCTGAGCTAAAGTCAATTAACAGTATTTTTACAGTCAATGAACAGCATTCTTACATAGGTATTCCTCTTGTCCAGATGGGATAGGGCAGTGGGCAGTGCGATGGCGATTGCATCGTCTGTGGATCTATTGGGGCGGTATGCAAATTGAAGTAGGTCTAGGGTGTCAGGTAAGGTAGAGGTGATATGATCCTTAACTAGCCTCTCAAAGCACTTCATGATGACAGAAGTGTGTGCTAGTGGGCGATAGTCATTTAGTTCAGTTATCTTTGCTTTCTTGGGTACAGGAACATTGGTGGACATCTTGAAGCAAGTGGGGACTGCAGACTGGGATAGGGAGAGATTGAATATATCCGTAAACACTCTGTTCTGCTGTTCTGCGCATGCTCTGAGGATGCGGCTAGGGATGCTGTCTGGGCCGACAGCCTTGCGAGGGTTAACACG